TTGTTTTGACATTCTAGAGCATTCTAATTTAATTTGTTTTGCTCTCGTTATGTGGCTGACTGGGTGACATTGCCTAACCGCATCGGTTGCCACCCAAACACTGCTCGAAGTATGGAAAGCAAGTGTATTTCTGGGGCCATCCCTGTGGCTCATGATCAGAGGTTGGAAAATAGTTCCCAAATAATACTTTGAAAATAATTTAATGGAATTACTGTGGTAGACAGTTAATGAAAACAGTGTTTCATTTTTACCATCTCTGTTATCTGATTTGTACACACAGTAATTAGGAGAGGATGTGAGCGTACAAAGTCTATGTGTGTTTATGCTGGGCAGTGTTTACTTGTAGTTAACTTCAGTGTAAAGGAAAGGGAGAGAAAGAAGTGATAACATGTTATTTTCAGTATTTATATTGTGTCATCTTGCCTCCCACCCAATTCCTTCAATTGTCTCCTAGATTAGAACCAAGTATTGTTTCTATGAGGGTGGGTTTTTTTTTATTGTTTGTTTGTTTGCTTTTGAAATTTCAACACCCCTCTTCACCATTGCCTACCTTCCCCCACTTGTAAGTAAGAGAAAACAGAAAGCAGAGGGCATTGTTTAATAGTCTTCGAGCGTTCCAACCATAGACAGTTCTTTTTGAGGAGGAGAAGATCTGTGCCAGCAGTGCATGAGCCTTTACCAGCAATGACTGGTGCTCAAGATGCTTCCCTAGTTGCTGGTATTAAGTAGCAGCAGGCCCGTACTAGCCACGTTCAGATGGCCAAGCACAGCTGTATTTCTGCCATTCAGGCAGGTTCATGTGCACCTGGGAAGAACCACACCCCATTGCTATCAGTCAGCATTATAGCCTGTGCTGGTTTTACTTTAAAAAAAAATATGCATGCTATTCCCTGGAAGCTCAAATAAAGAGTGTTAACTGTGGGTGCACATGTGTATTTAAGGTCAGTTTCTCCAATGCTTTAAATGTCTGCCAGAAGTTTTATTCGAGTTTCTGATCCCCAAAGGCAGCTAGACGGAATCATGCTAGGTCTTCATAAACTGCCTCCTGTGAATCACTGTGAGTTCATACAGCTCCACACAGCAGACTCATGTCTGAACACTCAAATGGTTAACACAGTACAGAGATATTTTTTTTTTCTTTGCCTTATATTTAAATTGTCTTCTGAGGAAAAAAAATCCAGTATTAGCTTCAACTCCCAGATAAGGCACAAGCCCTTGTAACTATATGAAGCATCCGAAATGACTTTTAACTCCAGGAGGGTGAGGTGGGTGTCAGGGAGTTGGGGGAAGGGAGCAAAGTTTAGTTTTTGTGGAACACTTTCAGTGAGGGTCCTATAAATATTAGACAGCTGTAGTTAATACCTCACATGACTGTTTTAAATACTATTGATTTAAACCACTGGCTAGATTTAATGAATCAAAGTGTAATTTCTAAGCTTTGGCCATATTTCTCGATGCTAAATCAATCAAAATCTCTCTCTCTCTCTCTCTCTCTCTCTCTCTCTCTCTCTCTCCCTCCCTCCCTCCCTCCCTCCCTCCCTCCCTCCCTCTCTCCCTCTCCCTCTCCCCCTCTTCCTCTCTTCCTCCCCCTCCCCCCCTCTGTCTCTCGTGTGCCTTTAGCCGCTTTCCAGACATTCAACACAGGATTAAATGATAGCAGTTACAGTGATCAATAGGTGAGGGTTGCGACGATCACTCTTGCCGTTAATGACCGCAGTAGTAATGGGTAATAAAGTGTAGGCTGTAATAGCCCCTCGCTGGTACTGCATGCCCTTTGATTCCTAGTATGAGTAGGCACTGGGTACATGAGAAAGCTGGACACTGGGAATTAGGGACTGTATATATAGGCCATAATTCTCAAGTTGTTAAAACCTTAAACTGTGCTCCATTTTTTCCTCTCTTTCTCTTGTTTCTTTTCCATTCAGATACTTTTCTGAAACCTTGCTACAGCCTCTTGTCCTAATATATGTTGGAGCAGAAACTTGAAGGAGGTGGGAGTGGGGGGCAACCAAAATCTGTTCTGCATTTGTAAAGGAAGCTCCCTTGCCCACTTTGGTAGCTGGGAGCTTACTGGTGTGAAACTGTGGTTTCAGATGGTAAAAGCCAAGTTCAAGCTATCAGGATATAATGGCCCACTTCTGATTACTCAGAAACCGCTCCACTTGGAGGAAGGGTTACTCAGGCTTCTTGTGCCTGTCCCTGGCTGGGCTGCGCCTGCTGCTTGAAGCGTTTTATTACTCATCAGACCCTCCATCAAAGTGTCCAAAGGGAACAAGCAGGGGAGAGTCAAGTTCATTCTACTGTTCTGCAGCTCGACTGCCAACAATGAAGAAGTAACTGTGGGAAAAGGAGCTGGAAACCATTGGCTCTCTGTGAGGATTTAAAAATTACCCGCACCTGTCAGCCGTTCCTTGGTCACCCTTTCTTATTGACAGTCAAGGGGCCATGGTGTTTCTTGTTTAAAAAGGCACATAATATTTTTTACCATCCTTAAAAATAAAAGGCTTTAAAAATATATGATAAAAAATACCCAGTAAAAAGAACACATTACCTACAATAGTTTAAATCACCTTTATTAAAAGGTAATGTATATACTGTAGAATACACTCTTTATCTAGCTGGAAGAGATTTGATATTCATGCATCTATGTAGCCCCTGTAGTGTGTCCATTACCCCCTCCCCTGAACTTACCTGTGCCACTTTCTAACACAGGAGTTTCAGATCTCTTAAAAATGATGAGGAGGTGACTGTTTCTGTACTGTTTTTCTGCCATGGTTCTGTTAGGTTTGTGTTCAGCACTAGTTCAGATTTTACACCACCCTGTTCCTGTTTTTCTGTCCATCGCCATTAGATGCTTGGCTCACGAGTATTTGTGTTGTGCGTCATCCAAGAAATGCATAGAGAAAAAGAAATCCTAAACATGGCTCCTTTGTTTGCTTCAGCGAGCCTCTTGTGTGGCAATGAGACTCTCAAGGAATAGTAAACTTCTTTTGTGATATGTTGCCTTCAGGAGCTCTGAAGATAGCAGTTGGCACCCAGTGCACATTTAAAAATTCAGAAAGTTTCTTCTGGATGAAGACAAAGTCGACTAATTGGAATTAATGTATAGATGGTTAGATGTTTTCATAATGTCTTCTTGGCGTTTGCCCTAGACTGTATGCAAGTTCAGTGTTCCAATCATTGGTGATATTTCATGCTGCGAATTATCTTTTTAAAAGGATAATTTATCCATTCATATACATCTGTCCCTTTTTGCATATAAAAATATTCAGACATGCCCATCTGTTTTAAATTACAGTGTAACTACATCTACACTTAAAAGACCACTGCAATAGGAAGAATTCATGGATGACCTCCCCGAGTTAGGTTAATGACATTTTCGAAGTGTTCTAGTTCGTGTTTTCTAAACATGTGAAACTTGCACATGAACCTCCCCCAGATTCCCCGCAACACACAACACACTACCACAACAGAGGAGAAGGCTCACTGTATGTGAGTCTGACCTTCAGGAACCATTTTTAGTTCATCAAAATTAGTGATGCTGAGAAATCGGGACATCAGTGCATAATGAGTGTGAAATTAGGAATGAGAGCTCGCTATGCAAATGACAGGGCAAGTCATGTGAAGAAGTCAAGATAAACTGCACATTAAGACATTATGTTACATAAAATTAACACTCCGTTTCTCTCTTTTGCTTACTGTTCCCCCAAAAGATTTTTTTTTGAAATCTTTTATCTTTTGATCAGCTATTGTCTGCAGGATTAAAAAAAAAATGTCACACAGGCAAAGTGCAAAACATGCTATTACCTTTTATTGTAGTACACGAGATGACAGCAGACCCTTTTTAACAATATGTATCCTTTACAGCTTCTAGTTTCTTGCTGGTATATTGGCTTAAAAACCAAAGAAAAGTAAGATGCTTAAATATTACTCTTAGGAGACACTCCGATCTTGTCTTTCTTTTATTGTATGTGATTTTTTTTCTTATCTTTTTATGGGGGGGGTATTTTTCCTGAAGTATCTTTTGGAGTACAGGGACTGACAAAATGGTTCTCATGTAGTCTGAAAATTAAACACAAGCGCAGTGATTATTTTGAATAGCTAAATTACATTCTAGAAAGCTTGCAGCATCCGTGGCGTTGTCATTAGGTATCCGCTTGAATACAATTTGTGTAACCTTGGCCAAGACAGCCTGTCATTTTAATGTCAGTGTTTTATCTGAACAAGACATCATCCTTTCAGATACAGTGTGCAGGTTCCTTGCAAAGATGCCCGTGCAGAAACGTGTTAACAGTTGCAAATACGAAATGCTATCAAGTTCATCACTGTAGCTGTTTGTCACTGAAATGTCATGGAAAGCGGCTTTTACTGGTATCACACGTAATAGGAAAGAATTGAGACATCTGTATGCTCGGTGAATAAGGAAGGGTAAAAGGCATCCCAGGAAGGGTCTGTGGATTAAGTTCAGAAGGTGTGTCCAAGGTTCTGCCACCAGCAGAGCTAAGCATCCTTGATGGTCCTGAAAATCACTGTCCACAAGTGAAGTGGGTCATGCTAGCTGTGACTAGAGTTTCTTGTTCTCCTTAATGTCCTCCCTAAAACAAAAAAATGAAGTGTGGGTGAACTTCTTAACTGCTCATTTTGACTAGAGAGCTTATGTTAATGAGAACCAGGATGGATCTGTCCCTAATCCTGGTAACATTTCTCAAGGTGTGCTTCCTGCTCTGCTTGTAAGGTTGGCCAGAACCCATCCTGGCTCTGTGGTTTTCTTTTACATTTCTTGACTCTCCCAGCATCTGCGATGCTCTGAGTTGGATACCTGGCAACAACATCACTAGAGTTGATAATGATAACTGCACAAAGGCTTGCATAGGATCTGTGCTTGTGTCTCTTTGCCATGCATTCATGGGAAATAGGTCAGTTCTTGAAGAATGCTGAACCTGTAAGGCTGTGGGTATGTGGCTTCCTCACTTCCTACTGACACTTCATTAATGTTCTAGGTTCCCGTGTCAGTGGCTATGATGACACCTCAGGTTATCACTCCTCAACAAATGCAGCAGATCCTCCAGCAGCAAGTGCTGAGCCCCCAGCAGCTCCAGGTTCTCCTCCAGCAGCAGCAGGCCCTCATGCTTCAACAGGTAATTGTCTCCCTCCTGCCCACCCTGCAAAACCCAGACCCCCCCCCCCACAACTCAGTTCCCAGTTACCCTCCACCCATCCAGTTGCTTTCCCTGTTGAAGAATGAACATGCCAGGCCAAGAGGGACAGAACTCCACCTGGTTCCTGGGTGATAAGTGTGCTGTCCGCGCCCCTGAAGGACTAGAATGGTGCCACATGTCCAGGGCTCCGTTCTCGAGACTGCCCCATGGACTGAGCTTAGGGCTGTAATAGGTCTTAGTAGAAAAAGATCTTTCAGGCTTAGAGGGCTTTTCAGTCTTTTATTTGGTAAGCCAAGAGGCTTCTAAATGGCATGAGCCGAAGCAGCATGAGGTGCAGGTTGGAAGCAAGTTCGTGGAGACAGCTCTTGAAGTCCCTAGCTCAACCCCAAAGTTTACCTTTAAAGATTTTTTTTTTCCTTAGACATGGAAAGAAGCATTTTGGAGTTCATTAATTTCAAGGCAGATACTCAGATAAACGTGTGGCTCTCCTTGTGCCTTGGGGACATGAGACTCAGACTTAAGGAACAACCTAAACCCAACAGATAGATGCTCCAGGGAAAGAATTGACTACCGTATACCGTGGAAGATAGGACTTGGAGGACGGACGTTCCCAACACTGTTGAAGAATCCAAGTGTGGGACCCTCCTTGCCCCGCCTCCCATAATTTAGAAAGCCTGAGCTAGAGACTGACCAGACCCTGCAAGGGCATCTCAGCTTTGTTGTACAATCAAAGGTCACCCCCTTGCTTTATTTTAATTAATTTGTGTAGAAAATGGTATGTTTTTCATCAGTTCATTTTTGAGATTACTTCTCAGACCTTAATGCCAAGAATAGTCAGTGCGCGTGGAATTTATTGTCGGGTTTCAAAGTAAAAGGTCAGGCCATTCCAGATAAAAGGATGCTGTTTTTCATATCACAGTTGGTGCGTGGCGTGGAGAGGGACAGTGGGGTCGCGGTCTTCCGTTACTTACCGTCCCCTCCTCTCTCTCCTGTAGCAGCAGCTTCAAGAATTTTATAAAAAACAACAGGAACAGTTGCAGCTTCAACTTCTCCAACAGCAACATGCTGGAAAACAGCCGAAAGAGGTACGGGTGGTGCATAGTTTACTTTCAAACCACAGATCTCGGGGGACTATCTAGTGGCTATTAAACTGTCATTCATCTTTTAAATAATTGCCCAACTCAGCTGACTCTATCGGTTCTCGGCTTTCAGACCGAGAGTTATTGTCCTGTTGGTGCTAAGATTTCTCGATTCCTTACTTTAGATTAGCCACTACAGTGTACCCCGCTGTAGGGACAGCATCACCCTGAGCAATGTTCTGGGCTCCTTTGATACAATTGAGGACCAACATACAGCTGGGCTGGGGAGGGACAAAGTTGAAAACGGATGCACACTTAATGTTTTTCAGCATTTAATACTTGATTGGTCGGTTTGTTTGTTTGCCTTAAGAACTCAAGCGTTTGGGCAGGTGGCAATGGCCTTCTCCATTGGCCAGCTACCTTCTTGTGAGATTAGACAAGCAAACAAGGCATTTAGAACATGATTAAACATCGCTATCTTCACTTAACCTCTTGCATGGTGAGCGTGTCCTAATTGCCTAATGCATTTGCATGAGTTAAAGTTAGGGGACTCGTCTGTACGTAGCTGAGCCAAACAAAAGTAAACTACAGCAGCAAACCCCACAGCCCTCACGCTGTACTTGCTTCTATGTACCAGTTTGTTGTAGTGTTTATAATTTATTGCATTTGGCTGCTCTGCCCATGCAGGTAACCCTTGTAGACCCATACACCATGGCACCTTCCCAGGGGTTCCCACCTCACTTTCTGTATGTCACCATTAGTCTGAGGGTGCTGTCACTTCTGCCAGCCTGTGAGTGCCACTGTACCTAGGTATTAGGATATCCTCCCAGCTTTCCACATTTTCATAGTGGTCCAAAGCTTTGGCCTAAGTATCTTCCCTTTGCAACAACACAACCAACGTGTAATTCCGTGGATTGCATCCTGCCCTCTTTTCTTGGCTTCTCTGGCAGCCCTGCACAGCCACTTTTGCTCAGTGGAGGGAGTCTTGCCAGGTGACTGCCTCCCCATCTCTGTCCCTCACAGGAGGATGGATGCTGGTTTTACACATGGGAGTCACCCAGGTTTCTCTCCCCATGCCGGCTCCTCCCTTTACACAAATTGGGTATGCTTTCTATGCTCTGCCAAGTTTCCCCACCCGGGAGTCCTGTTTAGCAGGCTGCTTGTAAACCCCCTGCGGAGCAGGGGCAGTTTTGGGGTAAAGGGGAGGAGGCATATTAATGAAAATGCTGACACAACCTTAAGGACCGTGGCTCGCTACTGGGCGCTGCTCTAATAAAAAAGGGAGCAGATTAAAAAGTGTCTAAAATGTAAATCTAAAGGACTAACAGTAATTAAAATGGAAATGGCACGGGGAGGGAAGGCATGTAATTGTGAGATATCACCCCGCAGAAGGCTCTCAGCTTTGTTTTCCTGGCTGTTTTTCTAATTCAGCCGGGCTTACTCATCAGTGGCAGTTCAATGCGCCTTAATGACTCTGGGATTGCAGGCATCACTCTGGACAAAGAAATGATTATTGTGCGGTCAAAAGAAGTTCAAAGACAAGGAGGGAATTTCAGTTTTTTCCCTTAGAGATCCACATTCAAGAGCATATAAATTAAGCCAAATGTTAAAAACCACAGTCTGAAAGCTGACTTCAAAGTCACAACTCTCTAATTAATGAACTGCGAGCTTCAGTTTGGACAAGTTGGGGTTTGATGCGCCCATAAATCAACATGACAGGCCTGTTTCACAGTCTCAGACAGTGCTTGTCACTGAGTCACATCAGATGTAAACACAGCAGAAAAAAGAAGGGCTAAGAAGGAGGTGCAATTGATCAACAGAATCGGTAAAAACCCACTTTTGAAGCACATTATGCATGATCACAGGAAATGGTTACAGCCTCAAGAGGTTTCCCCGTCTGCTGTTGCTTTTTTGAATCAGATTTCTCACAGCCTTCAAAAGGGAGAAGAAGAATTATGGAGTTTCTCCCCTGTGGCTTGCAGGCAATAACCCCCTGTTGTTATTTTGTGCTTCTTGCTTTTCAAAGGCATCAAAATTTAGTTTTTTAAAGATCTTTAACTCTCCATTTGAAGACACACTAAAAAGGGCTGCCAGGCCACTCTTATCAGTTACCAGGGGCTGCGTTCTTCCTTCCCATCGCCACTGATGATTAACCTCTTATTTGGTCTCGTAGGCAGAGTTTGGAAAGCATATCCGCGTGCTGGGAAGACATGAAAGTTCAGACGAGCTCTGAGGGCTCCAGAAAGACATGGAGCAGGGGAAGTTCCCCAGCAGAAGAGTTCCCAACGTGCTATTGTCAGGAAGGGGAAACAAACACCGAGCTTGAGCAGAGAGTGATGGCTGACCTAGCATGTGTCCCCAGGCAAAGAGCATTGTAGTGGCCTTTTTTTTTTTTCCATCTCGAGGATGCTGGGCTTGCTGTGGCCCATGGTTTGGTGACCTAGGAGATATGTGACCTTAACATACCTAGAGGAAGGCAGACAAGTGGAGTCAGAGTAGTGTCCTTGGGTTTCACTGTGTGTTCACGGTGCCTCGGACTGTTTACACTAGTAGTTGGGAGATCCTGCTTCTCTGAGATGTCAAGGGCTCCTGTCCCAAAGTCATCAGCAGCTGATGGTCTTTCTGTGCTGTAGTGTTAGAGTCACTTGGTGGCAGCTGTGTGGTGTGGCCTGGTGGTGATCATTTTGACAAGGTTTGAACACAGACATCTGCAGATGAAGCAAGTGTCTTATTCCTTTACCGAAGGAGCTGTCATTAGTGGCTCATCGTTTTCTACAGTCAGGTGCCTCCTCTGCTGTCTTCCCCCCTCTTTTGGTTATGTCTGGCCCCACAGCCAGAGCACAATACATTTATAGTCATTTTTTTTTTAAAGTTGTATATGATACCTCCTTGGGAAGTTCGATGTCACACTGAACCAGAACCAAGGTGCTCCTTTGGAGATAGGTGTTTGGTGGTGGTGTCTGAGGTATACCCTGTGCGCTATGGAAGGGACAGCTCCTGGATCCTGCACTCAGGGCGGTTGGGAAAGTAGATGGCAGAATTCATTTTAGAATCAAGCCGGGTGTGTGTGTGTGGGGGGGGTGCCATCCTGTGTGATGAGGTGGCAGAGCTGATTGTTTTAAAAGGGCCATTTGTCCTGGGCAGTTATGACAGTTTATGTTAGGCAGTAGGGAGTAGCCAAAGAAAGGAAAACAGACCTTTGACTGCAGCTCTAGGGAGGGGACCTGAAACGAAAGGTTTATCAGAGCATTTGAGCATTTTAACACTGACTGCTGACCTGTCGGGACTGTGCAGAGACCTTTTTTGTATGCATTCAACTGTGAGAGGTAAACAAACGGACTCGTATCCTGTGTTTGGTAACTGGGTGGGGAGCACAGTTTGGCAACCAGTGTTGCTTTTAAATTCTTCTTTGGACAATGGGCCTTGTATACTTTTATATCCTGGCTTTTCAAATGCGGACAGCTTTCATGGGCACTTTCCTAGGGATGGCCACAGACAACAGAAAACAGCATCAGTCGTTTTATATAAATACACAGTTTTTAAACACGCACTTACAGTAAGACAGGAAGCACCCTCCCCAGCCTCCATCCCTGCTTTATAGTTGACCTTAACAGTGGCTAATTCTCCAGTCTTTGGCTGTGTCAGTGTCCCCCTTCTTTAATGTCATGAGTTAATATCTGTTGAAGAAGTGAAAAAATCCTTTTGACACGAATATAACTATCACTGGGTTTCACATTAACGTGGTAACTTGGGAAGGGGTGAGAGCAATTGGATCATTTTCTGCATGCTGTTCTTAAAATGAAAGCACTAGCTTTTCATTTAAATTTATTTAAATTTTTGTTGTCAGTGGTATAGAATTTGTTTTTTTTTTTTGGAGTGAAACTCAATTAACTTTCTCAGTGGCATGGTGGTAAGTCTGAAATTGGTTGCTAATATGAGGATGATGGCTTTTTTTTCCTTTTTTTTTTCCCCTGTAAAATAAACTACACAGAGGCCAAAAGGAAACCACCATTTTTCTCTTCCTTTGAACTTTGCATCAGAAGGTCTTGGTGCACACACCATTTTATGGTCATATCAGATCAAGGTCATGTGTTAGGTTAAATGAATGCAGTTGTTTGTAAAGTATTGTTATTAACCAGAGCAGGCAGGCTCTCAAAACACTGGGTCATCATCTCATTGCCAAGAGATCACTGACCTTTGGAATAATATTCAGAATGAAGAGCTCTTGTGTGATTCTTTAAAGATTGTGTGCGTGTGTGTGTGTGTGTGTGTGTGTGTGTGTGTGTGTGTTTGTGGGGGGAATTCAGTTTGGAAAGGGTTAATTTTTTTCTTTCTAGTTGTTAGCCATAATGTAGCCAAGACCTCCACCTCGATATGATTCCTAGCAGATTAAGGATATTAGATAATTTCCTTCTATTTATTGTATTCCTGCACCGTATTATCTTTCTATCACTCAGATAATTACTGAGGAAATCTACATTAATTTTTTTTGGCTGGGGCAAAGCCTGCTAAACACAGGAATGATGTATTGATGTTTTACACAACAAAAGTTTTCCTCCTGTCATGGTGCAGTCAACAGAGATATTTATCACATCATAAAGCCCCTCCTTGCCAAGAACAAAGCAGGCAGGGGACATGGGACAACCTGAGGTTGAAACTCAAGCCAACTTCAGAATCTAAATCTCCGAGCGCCTGTTCACATTAAACACTCATGGTGGAGTATGATGTTGTTTGCTAAATTATGAATGTGCGTAATTAAAATCTAGTGGCTGTTTCTCTGAAAGATTTACAATGTTATTTCATCGTTTGTCATGGCTAATTAACAATATTAGATGAAGTTTTTCTTCTTCAAAGGTCTGATTTTTTCTCATTTATTTATGTCAGAAATGGTAAGCAGTAGTTAAAGGCCCTTGCTAGTGCAGGCAGGGAGAGGGGCACCTTGTTCTTTTACACCTCAAGGGCTCAGGGTTCAAATCCCTCCAGACTAAGAGGATGCAGTCTCCTTTCTAGTATGAATAATTACAGATTTCAAAGTCTCAAAAGTTCATGCCTTGACTACAGAACTCATGCTTTTCCTATTTCAGGAGAGCAGGCTTGTTAAAGGAATCCTTTTTGTTGAGGCGGGCAGCAGAAGAGTTAACATAGACACCCCCCACCCCACACACACACACGCACCCTTATCTTCAGACATGGTACTGTGTCCCTTTTAACCTTGACACCAGCTCCTCCACCAAGCTGAGGTGGTAGCCCTCAGATTTTGGAAGATGGCAATGAGATTTTAAAGCACGCACACTTTGAACCTTCACCGGGATTGCCTGTCTCATTCCTGCCCTCACTGTTTCTTGCAGCAGCAGCAGGTGGCTACCCAGCAGTTGGCTTTCCAGCAACAGCTCCTACAGATGCAGCAGCTGCAGCAGCAGCACCTCCTGTCTCTCCAGCGCCAAGGCCTTCTAACAATTCAGCCCGGGCAGCCTGCCCTTCCCCTCCAACCCCTAGCTCAAGGTAAGCATCCATTGTAGGGGATTACACGGGAGGCAGTTCTGTGGACAGGGCTAGCGGAGGGGATGGGGTGTCTCTTGTTCTCTACCTTCTCGGAATGGAGGGATTTACTGACCTGATACATGCACAGAGAGACATGAGCCAACAAACAGCTAAGCAGATGGGCCCTTGCAGAGCCTGTGGGAGTCAGGGATCTGAATGCTCACAGGGGCCCTGATACAATGTTGAGAAAAGGAGACCGAATGTTCTGCGCACTCACTGAACATTTCATTGCAGTCCTTCTGCATTTTAGTCCTGAATGTTCTCCAAACATACTATTTAATCATATTAAGACATGTTTTACAACGTGAGTTCTTTTCTTTTTTCCTTCTTCCTCTCTGTCTCTGCAACACACCTCTTCTCTTTTTCCCTCCTCTCCTCCTTCTCTCCCTTTCTAATAGGGTCTTTGACATAGCTCAGGCTAACCTGGAACTTAAAATCCTCCTGCCTCCACCTCCTGAGTCCTGAAGTTTAGGTTTGTACCATGATGCTCCTCATTTAAATATTAGTAATATTTTATATAAACATCGTTTTAAGACTTTATTATTGTGTTTTTATTTGTATGGATGTTTTGCCTACATATGTGTCCCTGATGCATGTATAGGCCAGAAGGTGTCAGATCCCCTGGGTCTGGAGTTACAGATAGCTGTAGTCTGCCGTGGGGATGCTGGTAACTGAATCCAGGTCTTCTGGAACAGCAGCCAGTGCTCTTAACTGCTGAGACATTTCTTCAGCTCTCTTAAGTACCATGTTTTTAATATTCAGGCACACTATCAATTTTATTTCCACAATGGATGTTAAAAATTAGTCTGAATTCTAAAAATCAGTGGGATATATTTTGTTTTGTTTCTGTCTCTTTTTAACCTTTTTTTTTCCTGCTGATTTTGAGCTCATTAGCCATTCATTTCCAGTTCCTGGTTTTTAAAACTTTGATTCTTTGAAAAGTATCAAGGAGTTTTGGTGTGGTTTGTCGTTGTTTGCTTAATTATTTATTTATGGGTGGGTATGAGTATTTTGCATGCATATGTCTGTGCACCATGTGCATGCAGTACCTGTGGAGGCCAGAAGAGGGCATCAGGTTCTCTGGAACTGGAGTTAAAGATGGTTGTGACTTGCTTTTGAGTGCTGGGAATCCAACCTGAGTTCTCCTGAAGAGCAGTCAGTACGTTTAACCAGCCCTGAAAAGTATTGATGGTTAGTAGATATCTTGAAAAGCTGCTACCATCCAAGGCTAAGGGAATCTGTAAGTGTTCTTAGGAGACATTGTGTGTGTAACCAGCTCTGATTTACTCAAGACCAAAAAAGGGAGGCGGGAGGGAGGATGGAGGGGAGGGAGGACCATGACTCTGTTTAAAGGCCTTGTCCCTGTCCATGCCTGAGCAGTGCACATTCCCAGACTACCAAGTACACATGGAAAGAGAAGGAGCAACACTAATCCATGTGCAGGGCATGCACAGGTGATTTTCTTGTTATTCCACCAACATTACTACATAGCAATGGTTTAAGTATTCACATAGTATTAAGTGCCATAAGTAATGTAGGGCTTCTTTAAATGTAAACTTACGGGTTCTTTCAAATACCACGCCATCCTCTCCTCTCTTTTCCTTTCATTTCTTTCTCCCTTTTTCCTCTTTGCCTCTCTTTCTTTCTTTCCAGCCAGGCTCTCTCACTTTGTAACCCAAGGCTGGCCTTCAACTCCTGTCTCAGTCCCCTGAACAACGGCTGAGATTTCAGATGTGTATTGTTCCATCCAGTTTATGCCATACCTTTCTATAGGAGGGATTCGAGCACCCATGTACCCTGGTGTCCGCAATGGGATCCTATAGATAGCCAAGAATGACTGCTTGTGGTACTGGAGTCCACACCCTTGCCCTTGGAGCCTGCAGTCCTTCTTGCTACAGTGGGTCTGCGCGGTTGCCACTGGATGGATGGTAGCCACAGCTTCCTAAGTTTTGGGTTCAATTACCTCCTGGAGCAGGGTGAGAATAATGGATCTCTTTTGTGCTGCTGAAGAGGTAGTCATTTGTCTCAGAATTTTTGGTGTTGCATGGAGCCAGTGGGGCGTGTCTGTTTAGGTTTTGTCTCCTGAGTCAGCCACACCCAACATCTGTCCCTTATGGGTCTTGTTGTTGTTTTCTTTGCTTTTAATGCTCACACTGTGGCTCTTTCCTCCTTTCACTTCCTCCTGCCCTCCCACCTGCCCTTGCCTTGTCTGCTGAGCTGTTTGGTATCTGATCGGCATCGCTTCCATTGCTGTCCAGTGGGCAGGAGTGGGAACTGAGCACAGGGCAAAGGAAGGACATGTTGGCTAATGCATTTCTGTGCTTCCATAATGTTATAACCTGCATTAATTACACCCTACGGTTTATTGTTGGAAACATGGCAGGCTGTTCTGACACACCCACCGGACTCAAGCCTTGCTTGCTCGCTCGCTCTCATCTTTTCCCACCGCTCCTACACTCTTAAGTTTGCTCACTGAGGTTCATTGTTACAGTACATCAGTTAAGCTGCTGTCCAAAGGAGGGCAAATCGGCAGTGGCAGGACAGGCGTGTGTGTAATGTGAGAGACGTGAACATGGTGATGCATGCAGCGTGATCTCTACAGCAACACGTCGGAGACCCCGCAGGCAGCTCGCTAGCCGAGCCACTGATTGACGTGCTTAGCAGTCTGCTGTGACTATTAGCACCTGCAACATCAGGAAGAATTGTATGTAAAAGACTGAGGGGTGTCTGTATGTGCACCCAAGATGGCAGGGATGTTAATGTCTACATGGCTGGCATCTGACGCTGCGTATAAAGTGGGCTGCAGTCGTTGCTGTCTTCTGTAAAGCAAGAGTTCCCTTTGGTCTCCCCAGCTTCCTCTGCAAAGCAGCTGGAGAGCACTCAGTCACGTTGAGCTACAACACAATTCTTTTTTATCCGAGAGATGATGGCTTAAAACTGATGTCATTATGAGGTTTAAATCAACTTTCTGCTTGCTTGAACATGGTCACCTGGGTACAGATGTACAAGGACAAAAAAAGGTTGATCAACTGTTTGTCTTGGAGCCAGTGATACCTGGGGTTGTAAAATTGAGTTCCACGACCAGTAATCTGTCAGCTGTCCCCACAACATACATTTTTTAAACCTGTGCCTGCATTTTCTTTTATAATGAAGGGGCAGGTTGTCCTGGGAGGGAAAAAAGAAGAGGAGGGAAAAAAGAGACGTAGTGAGGTACAAGGGTTAGGTGTTTGAACGTGCTGGTGATGCCGACTCTGTAATGAAACCATCAGGATTCTTCTGCAGCTGGTTCACGGCCTTGCTAAGTTACTTTAAGCCTGTGTGTAAACCTGAAAGTATAGGCATATTGAATGGTATTTGAAAGCGCCCCCCCCCCCATTTATAGTAGATTTTTTTTTCAGATTATTCCAGAGTAGTTGTTTCTCAACTGAACACTGCAAACCCTTAATACAGTTCCTCATGTTATGGTGAGCCCCAGCCATAAAGTTATTTTTGTTGCTCTTGATAACCGTAATTTTGATAGTGTTATGAACCATAACATAAATAGCTGGCATGCAGATTATCGTAGGCTACCCCTGTAAAACAGGGTTATTTGATAACCTCCCAGGGGTCACGACCCACAGGTTGAGAACCACTGCTCTAGCGTCTCCTCTGTTTACCATAATAAGCCTGTCCTCATCCAGTTTCATCTATGCTTGTCCTTAACACCTGTAATTCCATACAGAGCTATCCTATTTCTGTTGTTACAGTCCTTGAATTTTTTAAAGTGTAAGGTGTACATACTTGGTTATATACCCATTAATGGATTTGTCCAACTTGATACTCTACCATTCTGGAAGAAACACATGGTTTCTAAAAGTGGAGCATCCATGTAGTCTGATGGGTAAGCAGCTTGGCTGCTGTCTGTCTGGACTCCGCCATGAGGTGTAGGCATTCTGGGGTGGCTAATAGTCGCTGAACAACAGCAAGTTAACGAGGAGGAGTTGAATCAACCGTCTCTGCCATCTATTGAGAATGCTTCTAAGCCTAATGATCACATTGACATCTGGCCCCAAAGTACCTGTTGTCACTCTTTGAGTCCCTCTTTTCTACGGAGTCCGTGTGAATGGTGACCTGATCTGCCAGCCTATTGGAATATAAGAAAATCAGAATCCCACCAGTGCAGTGCCCTCACTGCGCAGGTGTAACAAGTGGTGAACCCATTTGTCTTGGTCTTAATTTGTCAGGGAAGTGCCATCCCTTTGGTATAGCCTCAGAAGCTTGCTTTCCTCAGAAGGAGAAAAGGTGCAAAGGCAGCTGTCGGTAGACCCGTGTTTTTTTCCTATGTGTTTGACCCAGAAATTAATTAGTCTGAGTTGAAAAATAGGTGGTTATTTCTCTCCCTGTGTTTACTCACTGGAAAATAAAAATAGGTGTTGACTTACATGCGTTTCATACCAATACACCATCCTGCACAGACCGCCCTGTCCCCCGATGTTTCAGTTGAGTACACCGTGGTCTGAGGGTCAGCTCTGTTTATGGGTAATTGTCAGTGTGTGGATCACAGTGGCAGACATGCTGGCTATAGGCACATCCTACCCGTCACTTTGAAAGGTGTTTGAAAATAATAGCTCAGATGCAGCTCAACCGGACCCAGGATTGTGTCGTGACCTTTCCCTTTGTTTAATTTGCCTCAAGGTTTGATTTCAGGGGACAAGGATTAATTGAATATGCCTAATAACTAAATGCTCATTTGGGACAAAATCCATCAAAATATAATTGGCATTTGATTTTTATGAAGGGAGAAGGAAATCCACTCAGCCGTCGAGGATGCGTTTGAAGGATCTCTGACCACTCCATGTATTATTTTTAGCTTCCTTTATAATATATATTAATTGCAAATACTTGAGCATTTGAACATTTTCCCGGAGCACTGCTCAGAGAGACCAACTGTTTTTGTTACTGCTCCTCTTAGAAAGGCGGGGAAGGTTATTGGTCTGCTGTGCAATAATTTACTCCTCTTTGATATGCAAACGATCCACGGTGAATATAAAAAAATCCTATCAGACTCATTTCACAGTTCTTAACCACTCGGATTCTCTGGAGCCCGTCGCCTCATTAGGCCGGTGCTCTCCAATGCTAGCATAATTAAAATCTTTAACAGTTTAGCAAAGTAAAGATGTTTGGCTGATCACGTTGAGATGATTATCTAGCCATTGTATTCTAAATGACAAAAATAAATTAAATTTAGACCTTGGCATTTTTTTTATTATGTGTTTCAAATGAATATAATGCGCACCAGCCTTCTCTTTTCAATCCAGTACGCTTCAGTTTGGTAAGAAACATGCCTGCTTCGGCTGCTGCTATCTCACCAGAAGATGGCTGGCTTTCTAGGAGAGCTGTGTTCCAGTTGATAGAGACAGTGAACGGCAGTCCAGACATACCCGTTCTGAGGCGGAGTTGCCTTGTGATGTGCAGGCTGTGTTGTTGCTTTTCCTCCTTAAGAGGAAGCTGTCTCCTCTGCTGGTCTTAGGCGCAGTTCAGAGTCTATCCTTTCTGCACGAATGCGCCCTAAAATATACATTGACTTGCCGACAGGATGAAGGTGCAACGGTCCAAAGTGCTGAGATCATATCGCGTCTTAGAGACAGTAAGGGTCAGCAAGTACCTTTTTTTTTTTAAAGCCTCTGTCCGTTTTGACCCCATTCAAACAAACAAGGGAATGTTATTACCCCCAGCTTACTTTGCTTTCCACTTTTATTCTGCAATGGCTCATTACCATTGATCCCAGAAGTGACAGTAATAACAGTGTTACTTGTATGAAAAGTTACACAGTCTTCAGTAGACACATCCATCAATTAAGCATGTGGTACTAGAAACCAAAATTAATGAGGAAGATAGGTGTGTTAATGAAATAATCATAGTATAATCAATTTGACTGTTAAAAGTTGAAAAGCATTTCAGGGAGATGGTATGAATTCATAATTTATGTCTTAAAGTGATTAATAAAAACTGTATTTAATAACAAAGCTATTTGTCATCATTTTAAGACTTAAGCACAAAAATTACTCATTTTTTTGTGGTCCGTGTTGTCACAAGACTATGGTTGAGCAAATTTATTTTGAGGCCTCGTTTGTGCCTAGAAATAAGCTAGCGTGTCTTTGCTCCCCTCCTAAAACCGAGAAACGGCCTTTGCACAGACGGAGTCATGCTGTCGCAGAGTAGCTGAGCTCTGCATCCTTCCCAAGGTGTCTGCTCTGTGTGAAGAGGGGACTTCAATGGCCGCTCAGTGGGAAGATGCACTTATCACTGCTGTATTTGCCTTAGCTGGGAGGGGAAGAAAAGAAAGTTGTGAGCACCCCAAAGCCCCCCTCACACTAGGCTTTGTTTACTGACTCTTTGATTTAATTACTGTTTGAAGAGGACGGAATTAGCTGTTAATTGATTTGATTATCCAATTTGTTTGTTTCAGGCATGATTCCAACGGAACTGCAGCAGCTCTGGAAAGAAGTGACAAGTGCCCACACCGCAGAGGAGACCACAGGCAGCAACCACAGCAGCCTAGACCTGACCAGCACATGTGTCTCGTCCTCGGCACCTTCCAAGACCTCCCTAATCATGAACCCTCACGCCTCTACCAATGGACAGCTCTCGGTCCACACTCCCAAAAGGGAAAGGTAGGAGCATGCCCACCCCTGCCTGTGGTCAGCACTGTCTTTCCCCTGGAAGGGGCAGGTGGCCTTGCCCAGGACTGTGACTCTGAGAAACCTAATTGTGTTCATGGGGCTTAGATGCCCACAGAATTTACTGAAGGATGTGTTTGCTACGGTTTGGGTGAGAAGCATCTAATTATTTTCACCTTTTCAACGTGGAGTTACCACTTTCTTAAGATCTGTACTCAGCTTAGAAGTCCTGGCAAAAGTCTACTAGACTTCGGTGTTGGAAGGGTCGCCTCTCAAGGCTTCCAGGCCAGCTGTGTGCTCTGCCAGGGGCTCACTCCATGCAAACTGAACAGCTTGGTGTTGAGCACCTTCTAAGGCGACAGTGGTGTATGTGATGGACAATTTCATGTCTTGGCGTGAGGAAACAGCATTTAATGCTAGTTTACACTGCTCCCCCTTGAATTCAAGCAGGGAAACCCGTGTCATTCATCATCTGTCCCTTAAGGAGGCACGGGGCCTTTTCAGCACAGACACTAAGATTTAAATGATGCCGAGCCGGACCGTAGCACACGTTCTCCTGATGGCCCCTGAGTTAGTTCTGTCCAGCTGGTGTGTTTCTGTCTATAAGTTAAGGCTTTATATTTTCAGTGCCCTCAGCTCTTGGTGAATGACAGCTGAATCTTGGACTGCATTGTGTTAGCTTAAAGTCCTAAGAAAATGAAGCCATTTGTTCATTCCATGGCACTCAGAAGCAATATTGCTAGTGTCTACTTCAGAAGTGGAATATAGAAGGCTCCTCAAATGAACCACTTTCCCCCCTCTGTTTACTATTTTTGGATTCTTTCCTGTGTATTTCATATGTAGAGCTTGTAGACACAGAGAGGGCAAGAAGGCTTACCAAGAATTTCTCATAGTGAAACATTTTCTATCAGGCAAAAGCAAATTCTGTATTTGGTTGGTAAGTCCGAATGGTGAGTTTATGTTTGAAAAAAAAAAATGCTGTCTGAGATACAGCGTGCAATTCTGCATCATTGTGCTGGGGAGATTTGGCATGTGACCACCTGTACAGTGTGGGCTGGATAACATGATGGAAATGAAAAAACGCTGTCAGTTACAGCCTATCAGTGTGGCTGCACAGACGCAGACATTATCCCAGTGTTTGTAGCCACGGTCGTGGAATGAACTCATTGTGTTGTCAGTCGTATAAAAAGTATAGTGCACACAGCTATTTACAGCGATAATGTGAACAGTTGACATGCTTACTGTCCTGTGGTGTGTAATTCTTAGTTCAGGATGTTACTCCTACCCATAACCCCTCCCAGCACTCAAGTATTTCACCATGTTAGTCTGGCAGCAGCCTCCTACATCACATGTTACCTCATGCCTTGGTTGCGTTATGTTTTCCTTGTGCTAGGTTTAATATTGGGTTGTTCTGACCGTCCCATCAAGTCTGTGGGAGCAGTAGATGACTGTACCACATGTGCCTGAACATGGCACACACAGCCTGGATGTGTAGTCTGGTACCATTAGGTCTTCATAGGTACGCTCTGTGATGTTGTCTGTGTCTCAGAAAGTATCCCTCCTGAGTGGTGCACACACGCTCACACCATCAGAGATTTTCAGAGAGGAGGGTAGCACATGGTTTAACTAATAACCGTAAGCCTCCTGGAAGATCTCCTTGGAATGTCTCTGGTCGACATGAGAAGAACTAAAAGATGCCTTAAATTCAGTGGTCTGGAAGGGATGGAAGAATAGGATGGTGAACAGGAAGGATTGGTTTGTAGCCTGGGCCAGACACTGCTTCCTGTCCTTCCAGCTTTCCAGTGGTGAAGAATACATGGGCCTGGAAGCCAGTCTTCCATCTTGCCTTGGAATCTGTTATAATGTCTTTATTATTATATTTTTTTTAATTTCCAAGGAGCAAACCTTAGCTTTAAAGGAGAGAGTCTAGGCTACTGTCCTTTGTGGTCCCAGCTTTCCCTGTCCCCAGGTTGATGCTGTCCATTTACTGCAGTGATTGAGTTACATGGTTATCCGTAGGCGGAGCAGGAGGCCCTGCACTGAAAAATGCCGACTGATGCACTTAAGGTATTTGTTGCAATCTTGTCGGCCGCTGTGGAGACTGCACAGATGCTCTGTGACACAGAAAACTCTCCCTGTTTAGATGCGCTGCACTCAGTTTCATCCTAAAAGGTAATATATCTGCAGTCTGGTGATGAAACGGCAAGGAAGCAGGCAGGGGAAGAATAGCCCTTTTCATGTCTTAAGACACGTTTGAGAGTGAGTGGATCTTAGACACAGTCCAATTCCCGGAGACTAAGTTTGTTTGATTTTTTTTTTCATGGTCCTTATTTGTCTGCACAAATGTTGCATTTAATCTTGTGCTAAAATTAGACTGTGGATCAGAAGAGAATTGAGATTTCCACCAGCCCGAATCTGGATGTGCGAACAGGCTGAGTTTTGGTTACACATGCAGAGAGGAGGCAGCTAGGAAATTATGTGATGTTGCTTACTCTCTCCATTGTGTCCCATGTTACATTATGTGATATGTTGCCAGTGGTGGCTGGCTTCAGACGGCACTCCAGTGAAGACGCTTCGTTTTGATTTGTGGTAAACACAGAGCCTTGTTCATGTTAAACAGAAGCTTTGTCACAGGGATAAAGTCCCCACCTTCTTTCAGCAGAGTCTGAACTGATTATATCACCTTTGGTTAAAGCTAGCTAAGTATCTTTAAGCCTATGGAATTGATCATTCAACAATCAATAGTCTTTTAGCTGGTTTTATATAGATACAGGTATTTAAAACTGAGTATTAGTATATTTTCACCTTATCAGGATAGATTCTATCTATCTATCTATCTATCTATCTATCTATCTATCTATCTATCAGCAGTGCTGGGGATATGCTAGGCAAGTGGTCTATCACTACTCCTCAGCTCCTTATGATGGTGTATTTTAAAATCCCTCAGGTGGTGGCCACTTTACAGCGTAGAAAAGAAAATCAAAGGGGAAGGAATAAAGGAGGGTGGTGGGGGTGTCACCGAAGTATTTTCTCACACACCGAGCTGTCAGGGAGACACCTCAGGAGTTTTTGCTGCCACAAAAACCTTTTATCCATCAGAGGGCATTTGTGAAATATGTATCCTCACAAGCTCCCCCGTGATTGCTCGGGAATACTGTTTTCCATCCATCCTCAATAATGGAAGGAGTAAGAGGCCTTGCCACTGTACACAGTAATCCAGCCTGGCAAACTCCATCCTGCGTTAGCAGCTTTCAGGGCGATTTTTTTTCCCTGAAAAGATCTCAAGAGTGTCGTGTGTGAAAACTGGTTGGAGAGAGGTAGTGAGAGATTTTTGTTGTTGCTATTGTTGTTGTTGCTGCTGCTGCTGCTGTTTTTAAAGCAGTGGGACGCGCAAGGCTCTTACCTGGCTCACACATCTCCATGCCGTTTGGAAGGCTTCGTCTGCCCACTCTTGCCCCATACTTTTGCAGCTTCTGGGAGCAGCCGCCACAGCAGTAGCTCTGGGGTTTGGTGAGCTGCAATCTGTTAAGGAGATAAATAATGTGGTTGGCACGACACTCCTACTCCCCTCTTTAATTTGTCTTACACAAGGAAAATTATAATTAAATCATTCAGGGTAAACCCTTGAGTGTAGAGAAGGGAAGAGACACACTTTGGTAAAGACTGCCAATAGAAACCCACTTCCCCGTAGCGCTGGGTGGAGATGTCCATCAGTATTCAGCAGCCTGTGAGGAGGGGCGGCCCATGTGATCTGTGAGGCGGATGCCAACACTCAGATCAAGGCTTGTTAAGATCCTGTCGTTGGACGGTCAGCATCGTTAGGATTCAGCTCGGGTGCCCCGCTTCCCGCTTTGAGTCCCTCCTGACAATTTAATACTGTTTATTGTGCTGATTATATATAAAGCCGTTGGTGCAATAAACACCCCTGTCGTCAGTGCCTCGGAGGAGCCTGTGAGATCAGGTTGAGTGTGCCCGGAGCTAAAGGAGAGCCGAGCAGGTGTGCTCAGGCCTCCTTGCTCATGCGTTGCTGCCACGGAGTTGGACCCTCTTAGTAGTTAGACAGAAGTAAGACGTGGGATGCCTGCACACATGAGGACATTCATTACCTTGTTCACTTTACTTGTGGACTGTCTCCCTTCAGGAAATTTCAAGTTTTGGTGTGGGTAAACAGAATCAACAGAATGCAAATGAAACGTTTATTAAAATGCTAAATTTAGTAAGCCCTTTGAGCTTCTTGGATCAAAGCAGCTATGTAAATACAAATAGCAATTACTACTTAAGTAATTGCTTGAATTAAAATTCTAAATATCACATTATATTATGGTGCACCAGGGAAGGGAAGGCACATTAAATCAGTCCCTTCTTGCTGCCGGTTGCCACTAGACTCTTGTGAGTTCAGTGATGGCTCCTTTTATTCGTGGGACTACTGGAAATGCAGTAGGGACTGTCACCCCATTTTACAGATGTAGAAGCCGAGTTACAGAAATTGCAGGACAGCTCTGTAGTTGTATGCCTGATTTGTGCCATAGCCAAGATCCATATTCAAATCTGACTTTAACGTTTTTTCCATTTGGTATAGAAGTGAGTACTTAAGTGAAATTTAAAACCGGTGTCCCTAAGAGAATATTTAAATTTAATCACAGTTCAGGCAAACATCTATTAATATGTACAGATTGCAACTTTTAAAGGGAAATACGTTCCCTATTTATTTTGCTATAAATGTAAATGGTTTCTAAGTCTTTTTATCTTTGATGAAGGGAGGTGTGATTCATAAGATATAAATCACTTATGGTCTGAAATAGTACACAAGAATAAAAATAAATAAATCCCCTACAGGAAATACAGACAAGTGTAAGCAAGCTTGTGTCCTTTACAGGCACCCCCTCGCTTTCTGCCCTGCCTTATAAATCTTGTGTGTCCTGGCTGAATGTATCATGTGGTCTTTCTTCTATGTCAGCTGCCTTCTTTCTGCAGTCCAAATTAGGAATGTTGTT